CGTAGCTCGAGTGCTAGAGTCTGCGCTCTCTTTCACGTCGTCGGCGGCTTCGGCGTCACAAGACTCATCGTCAAAGTCTTCGTCCTCTTCCTTTTGGCGACGCGGCTGTGCAGCACCGAGGAAGCCAGGAGGCGATTCAAACATGTACTCTTCCTGAAACAGCTTACCAGCTGACAATCTTGAGCATATTTGTTTGACACTTTTCCTGAAGCCTTGTTCTCCGGGGAGAATTGTGATATTTCCAAGTAAAATAGTCACTTCTTTGATCTCCTTTACGATTGTGTCGCCTGCATTGGAAATCAACACGGTCAGTGTTGGGAGGGCAAGGAATGACCAGAAAACGAAAAAAGCCTTGGAGGTGTTCGACACAGGAGTGTTGTCGCCGTATCCGATTGTGGTCATAGCTTGGAAAGCAAATGACACTCCATCGAAATATGTCCAGCCCTGATACGGATGCTCCGAGGCTTGGAATATATAGGCACCAACAAGCCAGAGTACCGCCCACCATGATGTCGAGGTCGCCATGGCTGTCCACCGTCTCCTAGTGGCTGTCCTGTCCTGGATTTTACGCATCAAGTGGAATTCTGCGTGGCGCCGCTCTAATTCCGTTTTACCCGCCTGCGACTTGAATTGAGGGTAGTAATCGGCGTCTTTTTCTGCAATGGGTTCGAGGTCATCACCCTTTCCTTTCTTTGTCAGACGACGAATGTACCGACGTCGTTTTTTCTCAAGCATCCGAGCATCAATTTTGGATTTTCCTTCGTCCAACATCAGACTACGGATAGAGCCGATGACGAGACCAAGAGTGATGATGCCGATGAGAGCATACGGGATCATCAAGCCACGACCAACCATTGTGGTGGGATACAAATCGCCGAGCCCTACTGTAAAGAGAGTAACATCTGCCCAATAAAGAGCATCGAGGTAGAGCCAGCCTTCGACATGTGAGAAAACCAGGGCACCTAAGAGCAGATAGACGAGGAACGCAATAGTCTGGAGCATAAGAGTTCTTTGGCTCAACGTAAGTTCAAAGTCTCTGGGGTAGTGCCCGGCATTTGCACCATAGACCGTTGCTGCCATGAGAGAGGCAACAAGGAAGTAAAGGATAGCGGCGAAGATGCCATAGTAAAAAGCTTGAGCCCAAACATAGTCTATGTCGTTTTTCAATGCGAGCGGACCGCTGCAAGTCGCAAGGAGAGCGACGAGGAGGATAGATGAGATATACCAGCCGGCTATAGTGATAGGTTGAGCAATAGAGAAGCGGACTCTCTTGGTCATGTTGAGCAGAAGAAAGACGTTGGCTGCGAGTGCGATGACCAGTTGGATGGCGTTCACGACATAAAGCCAGTACGGGTCGTCGACAAACACGGCCGTTGTGACGTTGGCTCCGGGCGGTATGTATTGTCGCCAGTTATTGATGAGAGCACAAATACTGAAGGCAGATGCTACTGGCCCAAGCGTACCGGCGATCATGGGAAAAGCTGAGGAAGCCAGCCACCAACGGCTAGAATTCATCTTCCATTAGTTTTAGTCGTCGAAGCCAGAGATTGGAGTAACGTACGTTGGGTCGAGATGGATCTCATCTTTGTGATCAGGACCTTGACCGTCTGGTGCTCGGTTCTCGCCATGGGCATCATCTACCGCTCCGCCATGCTCGGCGATGTTGTCGCCCAGATTTGCGTCCTCCATTTTAGTCGAGACGGATCAGAATTAGAGGTTCAAAAGAGTGTGTCTGGGTATCTCTGAACGCAATTCATAACGGCATAAAGTGTGTCCAAAAAGAGCGTGTACGTGTGGCTGATATAGGTCGGTTGTTGAGGAAGAGACAGATGTCAGATGGAATCGGGATGTAAATGTGCCAATGCAAGGTAGAAGCGGAATGCCGTTACTTTGAATTTGTCGTTAAGGCCGCCTCCTTCAGATTCTTCTGGCCGGTATGTTCACGATGCGCATATGGGATGACTTAGAGTTCGATCACGGATATCCAGACGATTGAACCCAGGTATTTACTCTGTGAGGGGAGGTCTTTAAGTCCATCGACGAGATGTTGGACGTGACAGACACACAGCGTTCGAATCTTGGCCAAGCCCATGACGTCGCTTGGCATAAAACGGGAAGGGATGGGGGTAATGCAACTAGGGCTAGCCAAATCCAGTTCCAGTTTTTAGAGAGATATCCCTCTGGAGATTAGCAGGTAATAGGCTGCGTCATTGAGCGCTAGGCTCTAGAACACCCCTAATTCCCCGACTGAACGGTCGGTAGTCATGTGCCCCATCATACTGAGGTTAGTGAAACAACCAGCTGCAGGGTCACCAGCTTTGGGGAATTTCGGGGCGCGCCAACTAGATACCGACCGACCTAGCAGACGCGTGCTGAAAAAACCTCGTCACGCATTGGATTGCTGTCGAGATCCAGCAATTCTCATTGTCCTGTCATGGAAGATGAGATGGCTTCTACCTTGCCATCCCTTTAGGTCCAGACCTCGCTTTCACCTCCACAAGACAGCTGGGCTTGCCCGACCGTTGAGCACCGTTTCTGCTAGCCTGTATGATGCCGAAAGGATTCGCGTGCCTGTAGGCTCCTCCGGGAGCGTGAACATAGAGTCAGTCAGTCTTCATCTACACCCCGAAGACTCGTTTCTCACAGCCAGTAGTCTACATAACCTAGCAAAGGTGTCTTCTTCACTAGAGCCCCTTCTGATCTATTTACCTCCGTTCTCCAATGCAGGTCCCGTAACCAATCTTGCACAACTGCCGAGGTTCGCTCAGAAGCATGCAACTGCTGTCATCCACTATCGCTGGACGGAACCCTCATATGAGGATGCAGTTGAGAAGGATAAGGCTTTAGATGATGGAGACCCATTCGGACAACCGTTTCAGGCGGGATGGCCAGCGCCGGTCCACGACACTCTGAAGGCTTATTCTTGGATCGTCGACAACCTTGCACCAAACAGCTACGCGCGCCGCGATATGTATGTTTACGGCTCGTATCTGGGTGCCTCATTAGCGACCTCGCTCGCACTTACAGAGGCTCATCCTCACGAGCGAATGGGTATTCGAGGATGCATTGCTTATAATGGCATTTACAACTGGACCATGTTTCTCCCAGATCATCCAATAAGTAAAACGGCAATGCCACGGAATTTGTTCGAGGAAATACTGCATACACCCGGAGATCCCGATTTCCAAGAATTAAAGAAGATGGCTGGAATGTGGTTCATGAAACCCGACAACCTATTCGATCCCTTCGCCAGCCCTTGTCTTTTCTTCCATACGCCAGGCCTGCATGTGCCCCCCTCATTTGACGAATCTGCACTGTCTGATGGCGAGTATTCAACAGAGGCATTGTGGCTCTCAGAAGATGATGATGAGGTGCCATTACCGAAACCAACCAAGTCGCCACGAAAAAGCCCCTTGGTCTTCCCACCACGCAAGTCCACGCTCAAGATCCCCGAGATGCTGCTACTGCATGACACGCCACCACCCCTTCCGCCTTCTCAGCTCAGAAGACAACAGAGACGGACAAAACAGAACTTAGGAAACAACTTTCGGACTCAGGCAGACGAGCTTGCGGGTTTGATGCGAAAGAGTGTTAATAGGGTCGAGCTGAGGGAGCGCTCGAGGTGGGACGAGGACTTCGATGAATGGGACGACGAGGCACATAGACGGATACAGGTTTTGGATGTGGGACACAATGCCCCTTTTACAGAAGTTGGTGTAAAAGGTAACAATTTCGCTGCCGCCTGGCTAGAAGAAAGGGCTTCCTGACAAGCTTGAAATTAGATTAATGGTTATTACTTCCTACCGTATATTTCCCATCTGTAATTTAGATCTACCAAGTGGAAGCCAGATTCATAATAATGTCCAACACTCAACCTCTTACTCTACTGCTCTCTTGTCTTTGGTCAGGTCTCAGTAACAAAACAAAAATAATATTTCCTATCAACACAAAATCCCAATCGAGAAATATCTTTGCCGCAGCGTTCATCTCCGAGCACTCTAGCTCCTCCATAAATTGGAGATGCCCCTGTCCCAAAGAGTAACAGCATTTACGGATTCTCGAAACTTACATTTCTCTCGAATATATCAACCCCAAGAAGCACGTATAATCCAAAAATAACGGAAACAAATACCGTTGACCCCCATGCCGACCAAAGTAAAGGACAAAGCGATTTTCGTAATTGGAGACTCCTTAGGCATCAGCTGCGCAATAGCCGAATTCACCTATCTCTCTCGCCATTCAGCCGCGCAGCGATCCTCGACCTGGCGACACCACCGCACGATCCAACGCTCTCATTTGAGAGGCAGAAATGTGTGTGCTTCCACCAATGCGACGTGACGTTTCAAGAAGCGTAACGTGCTGGCTTTGAGACTGCGTTGGATGTGGAAAAGGGACATCAGGGGAGTATTGAGGCATAGATGGGTAAAGACATGATGGGCATTGTCAAGAGAGGTCGGGGAAAAACTTGTATCGCCGGTTTGATGAAAAGGCGAAGATATGACGAGGGTTTAAGTTTACAGCGGTAATATGAGTGGAAATCGTCGCTCGTCCGGTTGAACAGACTGGATCTATGGCGGTAATTACGCGCATTGATATAGTGCCGGTGCAGCTAGAACAGGCCGTTACCAGGTACCTTTATGTTTCCAATCATACTGTTGGAGGCCTATTTGCCTGGTTTTCTTCGGTATTCAAGGGAGTATCCGATGGCTTTGTATAATATCCATGCTCGTGTAGTTTCGTCAACTGTGTGTAATGATAATAGCTTTTAACTGTCATAGTTCTTGAAAGTTGATGGCGCGTCTTTGATGGCAAGCAACTGCGCAAATTTTAATATAAACACCACCACAAACGTGATGATTAAACAACATCAACCATCGTGCATTCCACACCATTCATTGATAAAACAACAAAAACAAAAACCTAATCAGCCCAAAACTGCGCACGCAGATGTAATAAAAATTCCGTTGAAATCCGAAACCAAAAAGTGCAAACAAAAGAAGGGGCTCCACCGGGATTCGAACCCGGGGCCTCCTGCAATTTTGTTCGCTGGTGGTCAGCATCCCAAAGCAGGAATCATACCTCTAGACCATAGAGCCTGGCTGATTGTTGAAGACAGGCTAATTATGAAGAATTATAAAAGTGACGAGATAAAAGGTGATCTTATTGGCTCGGCAATGTCTGAGCGCTGTTTTAGCGCGTTACACGGCGTGTTTAGTGGGGTCGGTGCGCTGTAGTGGCTGTGGTAGCTCTGGATGGTGCGATACCAATGACAAGTTTGGAATGGCTCTTACGAGTGTGAGTTTTGGAATAATTCTATAAATCGATGAATCTTTGCGATTGGTTCACTTACCTATGTTCAGATCTTAAAATGTTTGTCCTTTGTTGATTGTTGCGTAGCGCTGGCGCACTGCGACCTGTCAGAATTTATTTGCCTGATTGTTGTCGCTGGACATGGATCCAGCAATTCAATATGTCTATACTAATAGGACAATCCCTAAATGACTTGTGCTATAAGAGAACCACTGAATAGTGCGATCTAGCATGAAATTTCCACTTTCGCATTGTGTTTGTTCATTCATTGAATCGGTGCCTGAGAAGCAATTCGCTCCAGAGCAACAACCCTCTTTATGCCTTGTGCCGCTATTGCTCTATCCTACATAGAGAGACACAACATGTCTGGTAATTTTGCTTGACTGATTTCTAAGTAGTATGTGAATTATCCTCTGCGTCTCATAATTGCTAAGCATGCTGCTACATTCGATGTTCAAGAGGCGTAGTTGGGTCGGTCGAGATGGAACCTCAACCCTAGCTAGCTTCGATCGAATCTGTGTGCACAAAGTGTATCCCGATCTCTGTCTCTACAAGTCTAATTCAAGGTCTTCCATGCCTTGTCCTTTTGTATCTAGGTTGCCTGGATACCTGTGTCGCTCAAACCCTTCCAATTCGCGACATTAGTTACGACACAGACAAAAATTAATTTGGTAGTTTCTCTTTGCGCTCTTTCTCGGCAATGTTCTTGATAATCTTTTGGAGGTCGCTGTTCAGCTCGCTCTCGTATGTTGCACGTATCGACCTCTGATCAGCCGCCGTGATCCTGGTTTCAGCGCCCTTCCTACGACTGCGGCTTTCTGGAAGCTCTTGTAGACTTGCATTGGGATCGGATCCCGACTTGTCGACGAATTGATAAGAGCGATATTCTGTGTTTTCCCATCCGGTGCCTGTATCTCATATTGATGATTAGTCCTTGACTTGAACACCAGTCCCAAGTAAAATTGACCCGATATGATAGTGTTTATGGATTAGTTGCAAGGGAAAAGGTGAATGACTTACCCCGACCTATTGCGATGCCTTGCCAATCTTCGGTCAAGAAATGGAGAATACCGCCATGAGTAACAAGTACGATATGCGCATCGCTGTCCGCCTCTTTGGCTATCTCGCGGAGTGCAAGTCTGGCATCGCGAGCTCTCGCCTCCAACTTCTGAGGATCTGGGTAGTACTTGCTTTCAGGTGACTTGTCGTTCCAGCCGGGTTGGACCAAGTGGAAGTCGACGAAATCTCCGATCTCCTGCTTCAGGATGTCGAGGTCGCTACCGACATCACAAGGGTACAACGACACTTCTTGGGCGTCTGGGAGGGCCAGTATCTTCTTCCCCGACTCCACAACTGGAGCAAATGAGAGCTTGCACGTGTATAGCGTGCGGCGAAGGGGAGAGGCGACTAGGTGTGTGATCTTGTCATGATAAGGGAAGGCTTTGCATAGGTCTGCGCATTGCTGCTCGCCATGCTTAGTAAGATCGGGATCTTTTATCCATTGGTTTTCTGTGCTGAGGTTGTGGTAGCCCTGGGCATGGCGGACGAGGTGGATGATCGGCGCCATTACGTCTATTGTCTGGCGATGTTGGGTTCAGTTGATGGGCGGTCAGACGATGATGAGGGGCACGCAAAGGACTGGTTCGCAATTTTGTAGTTCTAAGACACAGCGTCTGTGGTTGGAAAGAATAGACTGAATGCTGAAGACTTGTCAATGACCAAATACTTGAGAAACGTTGGTAAACACGGCGTTGTCAGCTTCGCAAGCCGGTGACAGTGGATAATTCGATGACTGACCTGGCGTTTGGGCCATCCCGTTCGCGGCGAGCAGCAGCCACGATCAGTCATCAGCGATATCCACACTCCATTTCATTTTCTTGCGGCCACCGGACCGGGCACACTAATGGCAGGCGGCGTGCCTCTGGCCGTGCTTGGCCGTGCTCCGAGACACCGATTGTCGGCAGCAGATAGCAACTGTGTAATAAGAGCTCGCTCCATGTTGACTATCGAGATATGTCAGAATTGCGAAATATTTCATGTGGTGCTTCATCGCAAAGACCCCACCCGTCCCTAAGTCTGGGGCTTGGTCTAGAGAGAGATCAGCGCGACTCGCCACGAGCTGTAGCGAGCTGTTATGATTGGATCCAACCGCTCGGCATCCTAAACCTAAACTCTTCAATGCCGTGTAATTGTTGCTCGCCGTAGGAGCCCGTAACGGTAGCAATAGCCTCACCGCTCTGTGTCAATCAGGCTCAAGGCTAGCAATGCGCGGGCTGTGCTGGCGAATTTGCAGGTGGGTGATATTGGGTGGGATGAGCTAAAGAAATAACTATAAAGACCTTGGAGAAGTGAAGGAGGGTGATGAGATCAGAGGCGACAGGAAAGTAGTGAGGTGTGCGTGTGCCTACCAAGTCTATAAGTGATGCCGTGAATGCCATATGTTGTCTTCTTGGATTACAGTCTTGGTCCATTTCCAAGGAATGCCTATGAAAAATGCTCGAGGATCAAGTGAATGATATGCTTGGGTACAAAATCTTCAGCATGTGTCAATTCCTTTATATTTCTTCTAGTTCAAGGCTAGATGCTCAAGAACTACCTAAGGTTAGTAGTATTAAACTGCCATGTCAACATCTTGCTCGTTCCTACGGATGTACATCCACACGTATGACATAAAACCTCCCTACAGGAGCAACCACCACATATTTTGATAACTCCTCGAGTCTCTCGACAGGTACGTGTCGATTGAATACCTAAATGATGCGACTGGCAGCTGTTGTATATGTTGTTCTTAAACGATACACAACGTTGCCCTTCAGTCCATCCCTTATAATTGTAAATGCAGATTCCGCCCTCCGATCATTTCCCAGTGCATGTCACGGGTAAATGAGTCGAGAGTCGGACTTGGGGTACGCGTAGACAGGCTCGATGGGCAACTCAATCTGCTACGCAAACGCGTGTATTGATCAGGGATGATAGGATTGGAGTAGCCGCCGCGCCGTAACCGAAGACATTTATTGTGCCTGAAAATAGCTCCCCTGACATTGTAAGGGAATGCAAGGAACCTACATGAAGTTGCCATCTGGCCCAAGCTGGAGAAAACCAATATCTCGCATGCTTACATATGTATAGTCCGAACATGGCCTTTTCCTTGCATGCAGATATGCTAGCTGATCCTCTAAGCACTCAGGTGCACACAAGCAATACGCAAAGTTGGATATATGATACTGATAGGTTATTAGACCGTACGATGTGTAGCATGGCCGGAACTTGGATGGGAAGCCCCGACATCATCAGGGGCCTGGTGGAACTGGGCCTCGCACTGGGTTCATCCAGGTGACCCCCAGTGCAGGTAAGATTGGGTGGGCCATAATCCAGGGTCCTACGAGCAGTCTTTCATTCTCTGGTCTGTGAGGTGCTTGGTAGGTACCAATTTGTATGCCTCTTGAGTTCCTGATTGATATTCGTGGATTTTATGTCTACATAGGTACCTCTATTCTCGTACGAATATAAGGTAAGCAACTTCTCAACCCACCTCATCCAATCCTCATTCCACCTTTGAACACAGAAGAAGTCGTCGAGAGATCGCAATACTCCTTATCGAAAACAGACAGCCCTACATGTAGTGCATGGTCTGGGCGTCTTGCAGCAACACGGCGCCCGTTGACAGGGAACACAGGCAGGTATGGTCGCGGGCGCTAGACTGGAAAAGAGCAAAAGGCATCCCTCCATCTCCAAATGAACGCCAATAGGTGCGAGGAAGTGGAGGAGTTCTGGCACATCAGGCGGCCCCAAACGACCCCCAAATGGTGACAGAATGATGCAGCATTGCAGATGGATGGATGGCCAGCGGCAGGCAGGCGAGCAGAGAGCCTTGGAAATACCGTAGATGTGCAGTAAGGTAGGTAGCAGAACTGCAGGCGAGCAGGTGCGTGTACCGTGACTCCGGCCATTGGGTGTCAGGGGTAATTGCTTTGAATGTCTGTCGGTCGACCGTGTCGCAGCGTCGCGACAGCTTTCGACTGCCGTTGAGCTGTGGGCCCTGCTAGCGCGCATTCACCCTTTTGGCGATATCATTTCCCCAGGTTCCACCCGTTCCTATCTGCCTCCCCCCTCAGGCTCTCTGGATTCTCTTTTTCCAAAGAAAACTTCCTCTCGTAGCCAATTCCAAACAGACACAAGCTTCGTCAACACATATCGATTCCTCTGCAGCTTTACACCTGCAGATTCATCACTCGTGCCCAACTTTCTGTGCCTCGCGCCCGACACGGCTCTTCCCTACACACAAACACCCAACATCGTCTTCTTTCGCAGGAATTCATCATGCCTGGCATTCGTGAGTACCCCGTACCCCTTCGGCGACGCAAGCCTCATCTTCCCACTTCCTGCTCTGCGCCGATAGCTGCAAGGAATATGCGCCATCGCGGATATCACCTACGCCGACGCGCCAGACGCTTCGCTTCGCACGCCCGAACCTCACCACGGGAGAGAGCGAAGTTACGTCGAGTTCATATCCAGTTGTCCCTTTCATGGTCCCCGCTGCGCATATTCCAGTTCCTTGGTGGCTGCTCACTGACTCTTGCCCTCGTATCCAGCTCCCAACGCCCTCAACAACTTGAAGGCCAAGCTCAAGGGCGTCTTCAAGAAGAAGAACAAGAAGCCCAAGGACGAGGCTGCCGGCCCCTCCACCACTGCCGCTGCAGTCCCCGCCGGTAAGCATCCTGCCCCGTGAAATTTCCGAGAGATCGCGTCCATGTCCACACGAACCATGGTGTTCAGACACGAGTCC